TTTCAAAATACTTGCATATTTCAAGATTTCTAAAATGAGTATGTAATTCTTTCATAATGAAAACTGACTAATCTTTTTGAGATCATCTTCTGCTATTTCACCACCGTCCCAATGCCCCCATTCCTGCACACACATACACTTCTCCTTTCGAAGAAAGTAAAAACAAATGCACTTTAGCAATCAAGTAGATTACCTCTCTCCATGGCATCCCATGAGTAAGGAATTAACCACTAGGAGGCCAGGTGGATTAGGGCCCCCAGAAAATCTGCTTGATCACCAGAGTGCTATTGATTTTTTTAACCGAATTAATACGTTTGAAGTCCAAACTCTCTAGAGTGTCATAGTCCCCCTTACCTCTCTCATAATGTCAAGCAACTGCATTATCTTTCTGTCCTCTAAAAGCATTTGGGCATGCCACCAGGTTTATAACTTGGCTAGGCAACTTCTGGATTCTTAAGAAATTGTATTACAAGTGACATTACCAGATTTGGGGCTTTTTGAAGTATCTGACTATCTCTATACCTGGTCATTTAGTTAGGAAATTGCTGCCAGAAGATCTTTTAGCATTCGCTTAATAACTGATTCAACATCTACTTATTCAGAAAACATATTATAGCAAGCAGTGAGGTAGGGGCTGGAGAAACTTCAATGAAGAGGACAGATCCTGCCTTGAAGAAGCTCAAGGTCAAACAGATAATCAAGTAAACAGGTGCTAACAATACAATGTGACAACATGGTTTTAGAAACACCTAGAAGAATAATACAGGGAAGGGGATGCCAGAAAAGGCTTCTCAGAGGGTAATTTGGCGTAGCAAAGATCCAACAATGAAGGCCTACCAGGTTGACAGCAGGGAGGGCTGGGAGGACAGGGTGTAGGTGGGAGTTCTGCAGCATGTGCAAAGGCCCAGGGAAAAGAAGAGGTAACACGTGACTCAAGGGATTGCAGACATTATTGTTAGTGTTACATGTGATGCTCCAAACCATTTATGTGAACAGAAAATCCTAAAAACGGGGGGGGGGGGGTGTGTGGTATGTTACACTTATAAAAGATGCCACTCTACCCATCATCACCACGTGAGTGTCCATTCTTACAATAAAAGGTATACACGTGTAGGCAGCTCTGAACATTCTGCCAAATATTAAGTTTCTAATGTATTAATAATTTCTAATATAAATGTTGGATTTCTTATCGTGCAGTCACAGTCCTTGATTGAAAATCTCTCAACTTAATAAACATTTCTTTATTATCATATCCTTTCTAAAGGGAAGACATTGTTATGTTCTTGGGTGAAAAAACATTAAGGTCTCAAAAGAGTATAATACATTCTCTGGATGTGTATATTTTATATGCATATAAGCACATAAAAATTCTGAAAGAATAAACTCTAACACAGTAATAGAAAATGAAAAAAAAAACATGTAATTATTATTTTGGGGGGTTTATCTCTTTTGCGCAATTTTTTTTTACCATAAACACTTCTTATTTGTATATTTTTAAACCTCTGCTGTATTCTCACGAATACTTTTCTTGCTGGAAGCTCACAATGAGGTGTCCCACAAGGGTCTACGGCCAGGCCCAACGGGCTCCCCTTGCTCAGTGCTTGTCTTTGCTGACCACTGGCACCTGGACTCAGGCTGCTCTCCCACCCCTAGTAGCTGTCACCACTCACTTTATCCCTTCTGCTTCTTCTACCACTAACTGCAAGACTGACTGCAAGTGAGATGAAGGATCAGAACCCCAAACCTTTGTGGTCTTAAGGATTTTACTATCAATCAACAAGGGAGAAAGAAAGAGGCAGAAGATCACAAGCATGACAAGTACAAGGAAGGAATGACTTTCACTGACTTCCACACTATCTATCTACAGTGGAGGCCAGATGTCAGCACACCCCTGAAATTGGAAGCAACCCTGGGTAGGTGTCCATGGCAGGCCCCGAACCACTGATGGCTGTGAGGTTATTCCAAGAAGTCCAGGAGTCGGAGGTGCTACAAAGACCATTGCTAAAATAAATTAATCTAGCTGTATGTATACCATACATTTTCAAGCATATGTAAATGGTATTAATCAAATTCATAACACTTAACACCTCTTTCTCATTATTTCTCCATCAAAAGACACTAAAACTATGACTCTCGAATAAATATCTGCATAATCCTTTGACGTTAAAGTGTCTCCATGTTTAAAGAGGCTGAAAGCACTAGAGTAGAGAGATGAGCACAGGTCTCAAGAATATAACAGAACAGGGTGTACATGGTAGCTTCTTCGAGGAAGGGAGTAAATTTCAGCATGTTTCTCAAACTCTCAAGCCTGTTTGTACATCCGAAAGTGAGGATATAATTGAGCCTTCTCTTCAGGCAAAACTAACTGAACTCAGTCTCCCAGCTGACCATCCCCCCCAACACATCCTGTTGCTCACCTCAAGTACACCTAGGCAGCAAAACAGCAGATGCTAACAAGCACTTCAACCACCAAATGAAAGGCCTGGCCAGCCCGGACACAGTCGCCTCTTGGCATTTCCTCTTATCCACAGAAACATAAAAAATGCACATGTAAAAAAAAAAATTCTCAATACTATTCCTTTTTTTGAATTGCAGTATGTACGGTCAACCTTGGCCTTTAGAATAAAGTGTAACTTGTTCTTAGCAAGTGTGAGAAAGAGAAAGTGGTTTATTAAGTTTTATCCACAACCTGAATTGAAAATTATTCTTTAAATATGTTCTCAGTGGTTTAGATGAAACGATAGTTAAATATAATTCAAGATAATCACGTACTATCTCTCCATTAAGATTCCCACCTCCTTTAATGGTGAAATAAGTTCTAGTTTACCTAAAATGACAGTATTAATAGACTGTTAGAGTCGATAAGCACTTGAAGTAAAAACTGCAGGATTTAAAATTTTTTAAATGCCCAACTGGCATGCCACAATTAGAAATAGAATAATAAATAACAAATTCTAATGTAGTTAATGTAAACAGTGCATTTTTATCTTCAGGAAAAAAATGTCTTCTCTACCATTAGCTATAAATCCATAAAGGGACTATCATTAAAGGGATTATGATCATCGTTATTACACTAAAACAACATTTATACATCGTTTTGTAGAACAAGCTTTTGGGGAGACAAAGCAATCACACGGAACAGTCTGTTAAAGTCTTCTTTAGTGTATACACAAGTCCCAGGTATTTAAATCAGAGACAAAAGAGAATACTATCCCTTAATAGGATTACCAAGAAAAGGAAACATCTCTTTAAGAGCAACCAAGGTGCTAGTTCCTACAGTGAAAACTGATGTTATCTTAATTAGTTAATTATTCATCCCAACGCCTCTGGCCTTGCTCCTGGAGGAATTTATACCTTCTCCACCTCCTGCTGTGTTAACACCAATTCAATCATTTGCTGATAATCTAACTGCAGCATCCAACAGATCTTAGAGATTAAGTGTATAGCTGACTCCCTCACTGTACAGGTAAGTAACCTGAGCACAAAAGAACTCAAGTATCTTATTGAAAATAAGCTAGTTTGTTGAAAAAGCTAGCGGGAGCATTCCTCGGGCCACACCTCTCACTAGGTGGACAAGAGTTAACTGTGAAACTGACCGCTGGAGCAGCCATCTACCTGATTGCATGGAGAATGTTTTCAATGGGCCGCGGAGCATATTTTAACTGTTAAAATAATCCAAACGGATATTAGTCATACACCAACCTTCTTTGGATAGTACGTGTAGGAGCAGCATTAATTTAGCTGAATCTCTTCTAAGAGTCATTCTTTTTATTCATTATTACAAAGACGATAGTACCAAAGGATATTAAGCAGCACTCTAAATTTCATTCTCTCCCCAAAAGTACATGTTATATCTTCAACTAGTAACTCAAATCAACACGCCAATCCTGAGGCTTACGCTGTACATACGCGAAACGTGAGAACCGCCTTAACTATTTTAATTAAAGCTTTTTTTTTTTTTGAGATACAGATTGCAGCACAGATCCTAAGGATTTTAAAGATCCACATTAATTCCAACCTTTTCAAAAATGCATTTTACACAGGAAAGCTTCTTTCGCAATTTATATGTTCATAAATGCTTCCATTAGCTAAGAGACATTTTGGAATGTGATCAAATGATATTGAATGTCAAGCCGGAACAGCGGGGCTCAATCTCTGACAGTTGTCATGTGGCCACTGCTCTTTTAAACCAGTGTCCCCAAAGGGCTGAAAGGGAGAAAATCGTAACTTAACAAATGAAGACAGCAAGGCATGTTTTAAAAGCCACCTTTCATTTTAACTCTGCTTCCTAAACACAAAATTGGATTTGGACTTCTTTCGCACTGGTAACAATTCGGTATTAATATATGCATCTGTCATAACTCCCCCTCAAGAGAGAAGTCATACACTCCAGCTACATATAACTTCCAAATTCTTTCCAAAACTAAATGTGAAAACCAAAATACCACTGCTTAAAAAAAAAAAAAAAAAAAGAAGGTATGGAGAATTGGCAGACTGCATATTTATGTCAACCTTCAGAAAACACGGAAACATGCAGCCCCAACTCACCAGGAAAACCACTGCTTGTGTTCAAACTACTTTGTGGCATCTTCCATCGTTCATGCCTGCATTTCGCTTCACACCCAGGGTTCCGGTTCTGCACCCGCCGGAATACGTATCCACCCCCCAAACGTGTCCAGAGCGAGCTACTCCGGTCTAACAGCTTGAACATGAACAGTGCAAGAGTTTTTGCTCGTTGCCTGTGGCGTGATCTTAGAAACACCTGAATAATCGCAGATTTATTTCCCCTCTTGTTATTTGATAACGGAGGGACCCCGAGCCCGGGATGTGGCTGAAGGACAGCGACAAGAGAGACAAAAATAAATAGATAGATAAATAGATAAATAAATAAATAAATAAACAAATAAATAAATAAATAAACCCAAACACGGAACATGCTAAGAACAAAGGAAACACAAGCCTGTGAACAGGAAATGAAGCAACTCTAGACACACAAATACCTTTTGGGGCCGCCAACGTAGGTGAAAGTAAAGGTGGAGTCTGAGTATCTGAAATCTGAAACGGAAAAGTCCTGTTAAAAGCCACCCCCCCCCCTCCAGCGGGTCTCTAACCCGGCTCGCGACCCGGGCCCCCCACTTAGCGAGGCCAAGGGCAGGCCTGGCGGGGCGGGAGGCGCGGGCAGCCGGGCCGCGGAGGAGGGGACGCTGCGCACCCCGGGCCGGGCGCCGCGGGAGGCCGCCCCCCGCAACAAGTGCCGGGTGCCATGGCAACGGCGGGAATTTCCCGGTCGGGGCGGCCGGAAGCGGCCCCCGCCGAGCTCGCGGCGGAGAAAGCAGAATCCGATCCCTCTCCCGGGGGAGCAAAATGGACGAAAGGCGACCCCCGGGCGGGGGAGCAGGGCGCCGCGGGAAGCCCGGGAAGCCCCGCTGTCTCCGCGGCCACGCGCCGCCGGTCGGAGGGGAGCAGCGGGAGCCGCCAGGCGCCGAGGTCCGGCGGCGCTGCCCCCCGGGGGCCCCGGCGCCCAGCGCAGCCGGCCAGCGCGGCGGAGCGCAGCGCAGCGCAGCGCAGCGCCGCGGGCTCCATTCCCGGCCGCCGCCGCTCAGCCCATTGCGCAAACCCGCGGGTCCTCCCCGCGCGGCTCGGCCGCGGCCGCTGGAAGCCCGGAGGCGGGCTGGGGCGCTCCGGGCATCCTCATCCTCGGGGGGCTGGGAACACCGCGCACGGCTCCGCTGCCGGGCCCCCCCCCCCCGCTCGGGCCCCCGGGGCTCTGCCCCCCGGGCTGGTGGCCGCCCCAGACAGGGGGCGGGGGGAGGGGAGTCGGGAAGAGGCTGGCGCCCCCTCCCCCTTCTGGCTCCCGCTCCCGCTGCAGCAGCTGCTGCCAAATGAACCCCGGATTGGGGACGTGCAGCCCAGCCCCAGCCCGAGCCACACACGTCGCGGGCAGAAAACCGGGAAGGGGGGCGGCGGGCGGTCAAGGGAGGCTGGCGCTGGGTCCGAGGCTCCGGAAAGGCGAGAACTCACCTGCAAACAGGCAGTCCTTCTCGGCTCTGGACTTCTGGATCACGACGTCGATATCCTTCTGAATTCGCTCTTGCCTTGAACACATCCCCATTAAATAAATCCCTGGAAAAGAAGCAGCCGCTATTTCCACCCCCACCCCACCCCACCCCCCTCGCACGCTTCCAGCTTTCGTAAATATTCAGTTAAAAATGAAACCTCTGGCCGAGGCAGGGGCCGAAGGCGAAGTGGTTTCGGAAGTGATCCCGGGTGAGAGAGGAGGAGGAGGAGGAGGAGGGAGAGGAGGAGGAGGGGGAGGAGGGGGAGGAGGGGGAGGTCGGCTTTGCATTCCCAGATGTGACCGCCCAGCTGCTGCTCGCCACTGCTGGATCCCAGTTTCCTCCCCTCCTGACAATGGACGGTGATGACACCGAGTCTCACTTTCTCCCTCCCCCGCCCGGACCAACGGCCGTGGGGGGCCCGGGGTGCTGGAGACGGCCGGCGGGAGAGCGATCCCCGGCGGGGCGGCGGGGCGGCGGGGCGGCGGGGCGGCGGGCGGCGGGCGGCGGGCGCCGGCCAGGGGCGAGCCCCGCTCCGCCTCGCGCGCGCACACCCCCCGCGGCCCGCACGCCGGCCTTCCACACCCGCGCACACTCGCGCCCGCGGGCGGCGGCGGCCGTGCCCAGGCTGCTGCAGCGCCGCCCGCCGCAGACCCTCCCGCGCCCAGTCACCGGGGCCCGGCCGCCGGGGTGTGCCTAGTAGCCGCCCTCCCGGGCGCAGGCTGGGTGTCCCCGCCCCGGCCGCCGCTCGCGCGCGGGGGGCCGAGAGGGAATGTAGGTAGTGAAGACTCCCCGGGGCTCCCAGCCTGCCCCCGCCCTTCCACCACTTTTATGAATTCGACTCCACTTTCGGAAGGGTTTATGAGTCATATGGAAAACCCAACCCGGAGCGGCTGGGGCGCGGGGGGGGCGGGGGGGGGAGAAAAAAATTGAAAATAAATAAATAAAACGAACAGATCTTTCCTTGTTGCCACAGGAGGCAAGATGGAAAAAAGCCTCGAAATGACTCCAGGCAGACACCCTCCCGTGCCCTCCCTGGCGGAGTCTTCTTCTCGCAGATGCAAGTAGTTCAGTCCCTCTGTGACCCCCCCGCCCCCGTTAGGAAATGCAGCCCCTTCCCAGGGACTTCTCTGCTTTGCAGGGACTCACCAGTTCTCCCCTCCTAGGTACTTCCGTCCATAAAAAAAAAAAATAAAAAATAAAAAAAAATTGGCAGAATCACTGAGCACGTGCCAGGGTCTCCCTGGAAGATGGATATCTGTTTGGCTTGTTTTAAAAAGCCGCCCCTTTGCCAGGCAGTGGAGGGAAAAACTCCTACAATCCTGCCGTCTTGTTTGAAAGTGAGACAGGGCTCTGATCCTCACTTCCTGTTCTGCCTGAGGACACCTCAGGGCCGAGGTAGCCGTCCTGCCTCTGTATTGCCAGATGCCCTAGGACAGGCCTCCAATGGCACTTTTCTCCTTTGTTTCTTCCTCCACTGAGAAGGCTTCCCTGAGCACACCGGGTCTCATCTGGTTCTGCATTCCCAGGGCCTGGTGCAGTGCCTGAAAAACAGCAGGCAGGCCTGAGTGTTGGCTGAATGCACGAAGGGTGGTGCCTTGCAGCCTCATTTCTGTACGCCTACCTACCACAGTCTTGACCAACTTCCTTATCAGCAGAAGTTCCCAAGCGCTGGCAGACTGGCTCAGACACTGCATCAGTCCAGCCTGGATTCTGATATGGACAACATGGTGTGTAGGAGAATTAGAAACGGCTGTCATCCCTGAGGGTTCTTAAGATTCCTTAGAGATCAGTGCAATGAGAAGTCATGTATGTCCTAACCGCTTTATCTTGCAGAAAAGAAAAACATGAAATGGTTTGTCGTCCAGCCTTGGACACAGCACATTCATTGTGAATAATAAGAGGAAACGCTCCTCTGCATTAAGAAGACCACTGCCCTCTTTGATGTCAGAGTCACGATAGGCTACATTTTCTGCTCAGATCTTTCCTGAAACTTCCAGCCTGAGGTGGTGGGAGGGGAGGTTCATGTAGCTCTTGGGTGTGTCTCCCCTTGGCAACCAAAAGCACTCCCCTCTCTCCATGCCTAGCATCATGTGTGTTTACCTCGCATTCTGTGCTCCAACTTCTCTAAAAGGCTTAAAATCTATCAACTGCCAATAATTTGTTCGATGGTTGCCTCTCTTATCCAGGTAACCCAGATTCTCAAAGTAAAACCCTTACTACAAATGAATTTGAAATAGTTTTAAACCTACCTGATGGGTTTCACCCGGATCACCTCTTGGTTTACTACTCCCTTCAGAAAATAGGCCTTCTTGTGATTTGTCCTATATCTGATTGTTTTTTTTTTAAGCTTCACAGGCGCCCTGTTTTTGTTAAACAAAACTGACCTCACTCATTCATGCCCTTAAGGTGTGATCTATTTAAATATTTTTAAATGTTAAGGGATAAGATCTTAAAAAATCCCTTTCTATCTAGTATGCATTTTTGCAAGATAAGTTTCTCCAAAGAAGCTATACCAAGGCGTCAGTGTTCCATGCTAGATCCTTATGGTATGATTCTTTCCAACTTGGCCCACAATCGGTATCTCATTTACCTTACCTCATTCAGACTCTTACTTAAACATTTATAGATGATTTTGCAGTGATTAAAAACTATATGCATGTTTTGAGATGAGGAGGTTATATCCCTGCCTTAACCACTCCTATGTGCACACAAATACTCACATGATTCAGGAACGCAGCACATAACAGGCCTTTAATCAGTTTGTTAAAGAAACAAAAATCATCCACCACGGGAGAGACCTCTGGTTAAGTATGCTACAGGAAATTCAAGATAGTGAGTAATCAATACATTGGATGACTGGGTCTAGTCAAAAAGTCCCAGCAGTTTAGAAAAATGATCCCAAGTAGAAAAATAAAATTTATTAGGGGAAAAAATGTAAATTCTTCGCCTATGCTGAAAGACCCAGCTGCAGAACTATAAGGCAATGGAAATGTGGCATTAAGTTCAATGGGTGTGCTGTAGTTATTAATAACTCACACGTGTCCAGAGATTATTAGAGCAGCCTGATATTGCTCTAAATGCTTTACATATATTAACTCATTTCATATTCATAATAATCCTCTATGGTAGCTGTTACTATAATTCTTCACATTTCACAAAAGAGGAAACTGAGGCACAAAGGGGTTAGTTAACTTACCTAAAGTGGGACATAGACTGCAATTAACTTTTTCCTCTCTCCAAAACTTCCAGCAGTTGAACTGAACTTTGAGGAAAAGAAATGTTCAGAAGTCTCACTTCTGAGTAGACTGGCCTCACCGATGGCAGCCGGCCAGGAGTTAAGCCAACAAGAAGCCCTATAATGGATTCTGAAGCAGGCCTGCAGTCAGTCTATGGGCTCTCAAAATAGCCTCTCCTGGTGGCAGCTATCTTTCCCTTCCCTGCATTGAACTTCTTTTCCCAAATGAATCTCAGTCCTCAGTAAAGTCTTAGGAAAAGCCTGACCTCTCTTATTTCTTGGGAATTAAGAAAAGAGGATGGGAGGCAGGATTTGCAAAGAAAGCAGTCCCTTTGCCAAATGCATGGTGGTGTCATCAGTAGCAAATCCCCATGGGAACACCCAGCAGCCTTGGTCAGCTGTGGAAACAGCACTGTGACAATTTGCTCTTGAGGTAGAATCAGAGTGAAAGAAGGACAGAGAGCCTGAGGGATTACCATGGGAAGAGATCACCAAGAGACTTTTAGCCAGGATGAGGATGTGGGCTTTTACCTGAGAGAAATGGGAAGCTACTGGAAGGAAGGTGATCTCAAAACACTTTTCAACGATTAGATGTGTAAGAACTTCTTTCAGTGATTCTGTAATGGAAAGAATTCCATAGAGTTCAAAATGCCTGCTAGGCCCAACTGGGCCCTCCTAAATAAGGTGGATTTGGGCAATTCTTTCTGCTGGTAGTATTGCTGTGGGAGAAACTAATCCTGTTATCCTGACTTCATTTGTTAGGTCTAACAATCAAAGTATGAGCAAAGCAAAGTCACCGTTGAATAAACTTGACAAAATGGAAGAGAATTTGAGGTGGTTTGATGTGAAATTCATCCCAATTTGGTCCTTAGCATATCCCCTAACCTAAAGTCAAATAGAGCAGCACATAGGTCATATTGAGGTTTTACGGACCTTTCTAGCAACCTTAAGACACTTAACTAACACCAAAGCTATAACATGAAACCTGAACTGCTTTTCCTAGTTCCAGGCTTCTCTTTAATTATAGTCGCATTTGTCTCTCAATAGACTTTTAATTCTCATTTCTACCGAGAAGCATCCTTGGCCCTTATTAGATGCTCACCATCCCATGCAAACAGACTGATACTTCTCGGCTTGTTCTCACACATATTAATTCTATTTCATTTGGAATACCTCTCCTTTTGTTTATTTTTAGAAGTGCATAAATACTGCATGAATACAATCTCAGTGCAAACTATTTAAGGCGTATATTAATAAGGAGTGTAAAATCTGAAAATTCCCACCCATCTTAACCCCTAAATCCACTGCTGATCCCAAAGATAAATAGCATCGTTATAAGAGAATCCTTCCATTCTGGCCTTTACATAGCCATATCTATCTGTATTTTTATAGATTTACACGTATTTTAATCACACACATTTTAATTTAAAAGGAACCATATAATATATGTTCTTTTGCAACTTGATTTTTCCACTGTCTTGGAGAACTTTCTGTATCAGTGCAAAGAGATCTAGCTCATTCCTTTTAACTATCGCAGAGAATTTTTTAGAACTTTAACCATGCCTCTGCAGTCATGATGAGTTTTTCCAAATGTTTTATGATTAAGACAATTTTGAATAAATGCACATCTTTATGCACAATTTTCAGCACTCTGGGATAGATTGGTAGAAGTGGACTGACCTGATCACAAGGAGCTGACAATTTAAAAATTTAACAGGTATAAGAAAATTGCTTTCAAAATTATTTTATATTCTACTAACTGTTGTTGAGCATACCTAATTCTCTGCATCATTCTCAATAATAGGTGCTATAGAGATGCCTGGGGGGCTTAGTGGTTGAGTGTCTGCCTTTGGCTCAGGGCATGATCCCCGAGTCCTGGGATTTAGTCCCACATCGGGATCCCTGCAGGAAGCTTGCCTCTCTCTCTGCCTGTGTCTCTGCCTCTCTCTCTGTCTCTCATGAATAAATAAATAAAATCTTAAAAAATATATCTTTCCTGGTTTCTCCAGTTTACTAATATTTCTTCTTCACTGAATTTCCTATTTCTAGACTATATAAGTTCCTTGAGGATAGGAACTGGTTTTGCTCATCTTAGTATACACAACAGAAGCTATTTTAATGTGATACACAGTAAGTAGTTTGATGAGCAATTGTTGGCTTGACAAGAAATCTTGATTCCTACTTCTTATTGCTGTTGTTTTAAATTCCTTGAAATTTTGCATGCCC